AACCATATGGAGAATAAGAAAGAAAGAAAAAAACGGTACAATAAAGTCGATCGTCTCAATCTGAACCTTTAAATTCACTCACCCAACTCCCTACTCATTACCCGTCGGCTAATCTATCAATCTACCAATCACTCTAGGAACCTCCCTGCCTGCATATTCCACTGCCATCCTTCATTCTATCACAACTCAACAGCAATTACCGAGATAAGCCAGAAAAACAAAGCTGCCAGCAATCAAGAATGAGTTCATCAAGTTTAGCGGTGAAGAAACATAAGCCAGACACGAAGACAATTCAGTAACCCCTCTCCACAACAAACCAGCAGACCCTGTTTCAGATCGGCACCTTTGCTATTTATAGGGCTAAATGCATCGTCAAATTACCCTCATCCGTCTCTGATGCTGGAGTCACAAACTCACATGAGAAAGTTTCTTCCTAATCCAGTAACCGTTCATCAAGCCCAGATTTCACTCCATTATATTTAATACAAGGGCGACAAAACCTGACCCGCTGAAGAATTCTCCCAGCGCACCTACATGTTCAAATGCCTACATCATTTCTGAGTTTGGGTGGGGAAGAAAGGGCTTAGGACATAGCGGTCTTTGTAGCGAAGCCATTTACATGGGGATCTGGGGGTCGCGGGTTCGACACAATGACTTCGTCGTTCTGTTCACGAGTGCAATTTTTACTAGATTGCCATTGTACCTACAGGGGTCGTTACTTGGAGCTAACGAGTTCGTGCTTTCTGTTGCGCTTTCGGTAGCCAGCTAGTTTATTCAGTAGTCCGGAAGGTTGTTTTTTCCCACTGTTGTTATGTTTTGACCAAAAAAAGGCTTGCTTTAATTTGTCATAATCATGACAGTCTTGGAATAGGTTTTCTGCTACCTGGGGGATTTATTCCATAAAGGCACATGGCTGATACACGACTAGTGTACATTTCGTACACACGTGGATGCGTAGTCGGTTGTGCCCTGTTCTGGGACCAGTGTAATGACTTGTCCTCGTCTGTCCATAAAAATATGATAGTCAGCATGTGCCGGGGTTGGTGGTTTTCTGAGCCATACACGATCAAACTCAGTGCAGTCAACTCAATTACCTAAATTCCCATTAGAATTTTTTTTTTTTAAACAGCCCAGTAGATTTTAACAACTCCCGTTTCCCAGTCTAAAAAAAAGCCAGATGTCTCAACGGTTGTTTTTCTGCGACAGTCAAAAGATTAATCCACTAAACATAATCTATAACTAGGAAGCTCAAAGGCAAAAGGGAGGAGGGGCATTTTCAACCAAACGTTAAAATAATAAAGATCCTTAAATAAGCTGGACTCCAATTCTGAACCGCCATTTTGGGCCCATGTGCGGTAGCCAACAACAGTTTTAGTGGCGAAGTGACCTGACCCGCTGTAGAATTCTCCCACCACACCCATGTGTACAGCAGATGCCTGCAATATCTCTGAGCCTGGAAAGGCTGGACGAAAATGCCGAAGAAGGGGGAAGTGGTAAATGCACGTCACAAAGACCGCCAAATGTGATGAAGCTGCCTGCCATTCATATGTGTTCGCAAACACGCACACAGGGGCTAACACCCACCACGAGCACAGTGAGATCTCCATAACCAAGAAGGGTTGATGAACATCAGAAGTACACCCCTTTCACAAATGTTTTGGCCCTTTCACTTCTCAACACTTTTCCAGGGACGGATCAGCTTGAATAATGCTACCACATGCATGTAAGTAAAGTAAATATCCCTTTTCCTGCCTTTAGGCGCATCGGGCATATGGTATTAGCACCCATATTTATACAGACCAATCGGCACTAGGTTGGGTAATGCGGCCAAAATACATCCTGGTACCAATTTTAGGCTGGGTCGACCTGCAACACCCCTTACTGTGATAAACAAAATCCACGCAGCGAGCAGTGGGTTTCGATCGCGGTATGTTGGAATTACGAGTCGGAATCGCAACGCCCAAGCCACGGACGCCGCTCAACATGCTAAAGTTGGGTACGGATCGCATATGAGAGTGTACTGAGTGATGTGGTGTCGATTCTTAACTCACCACTCAACATCCGGCGGAAAGGGGATAGAAGAACAAGGACCTATATGACAAATATGACACGCCAGGAAACACTGGGGTTCGGGTGGGCGTGTCCCTTAGACTAGGTGTTGTGGCCATCGCAGATACGACTTTTAAAATCGTCAGTGTGGTTTCTCTGAATGACTAGGTAGGTCTCTATGAGTAACTAGTTCCCTATAAAGTAATTAGTTCCCTGTTAGTAACTATTTCCCCTATGAGTAAAAAGTTCCCTGTTAGTAACTAGTTCCCTTTGAGTAATTAGTTTCCAGTTAGTAACTAGTTGCCTATGAGTAATTAGTTCCCTGTTAGTAACTAGTTCCCCATGAGTAGCTACTGCAGTGTAAAGGCCAGACGTTAGGCAACAGGCACGAAGGTCCCAGGATGAAGCCTGATTTTTCAAATACGGCCTTGGCTCCCATGTCAATGCAGCTTATAACGGGTATCAGATGGGAAGTAAAGGCGGCCAGATAATGACGGCCACATTCACCCCACTGAGTTAATTTATAAACTATAGGTCTAGCACTATATGCCCAATACACCTACAGGCCTGGAAAAGGGTTGTTGACATTTTTTCAAATGAGTAACCAGTTCCCAAATAAGTAACCAGTTCCCAAATGAGTAACCAGTTCCCATATGAGTAACCATTTCCTTTTGAGTTACTAGTTCCCTATTATGAGTCACCAGTTCTCTAGGATCAACTAGTTGCCTAATGAGTAACAAGTTCCCAATGAGTAACCAGTTCCCAATGAGTAACCAGTTCCCAATGATCAAATAAATCCCTAGGAGTAACTAGTTCCCAATGTGTTAACTAGTTCCATTTATGAAATACTAGTTCCCTATGAGAAACTAGTTCCCTATGAGTAACTAGTTCCCAATGAGTAACCAGTTCCTAATGAGTAACTAGTTCCCAATGATTAACTAGTTCCCTATGATCAACTAGTTCCCTATGATCAGCTAGTTCCAAATGAGTAACCAGTACCCTATGGGTAACTAGTTGCCAATTAGTAAAAAATTCGCAGTGAGTCACCAGTTCCGACTGAGTAACTAGTTCCCTATAATCATCTAGATCCGTATAAGCAACTAGTTCCTTATGAGCAACTAGATCCCTATGAGCAACTAATTCCTAATGAGTAACTAATTCCCAATGAGTAACTAATTCCCAATGAGTAACTAGGTCTATATCCCTCATGAGTAACAAAGCCCCTCCTCCTTCTCGCATGCTGCCATCTGACACAAAACTATCAGAAGAGAACACAAACAAGAGAGGTCACACCATGAAACAACATATCAGGTTAACATCATATCCAAAGCTGAACATCCAGTGTGCTTCACAATGCAGACATCACAAGAACACAAGGGTACAACTTCTGATTATGTAACAGGGGGGAAATATAATAGACATATGCATTGCCACAGAGACTCCAGACTTTGCATTCATATAAAAATGATACATACTGGCTACCAGTCTCATCTCTGAAAATGTAATTGGTAGGTATTTTAGAATGCTTTACCATCTTTGTTTGAACTATAGTGCATTCCTAAAGTTGTGCACTCAAACTTTAACATATTTTGAAAACTGAACAGATGAACACAATTATTTGCAAGTGGTCTTAGATTTCCAATGTTCTTATGATTGAATAATTTACAATTGCACAGGGGCTTCTGTTTCCTTAGAGCAGTAAATTACTTTGATCCTTGTCAGATAAATAAATGTTTGTACCCAAAGAAAAAGGGATATAAGAACGCATACAAACGGAGTTTAAATTATGTAAATGACAGTATATGAAAATAAGTGTGCCTTTTTTTTTTGGGGGGGGGGGGGGGGGGGGGGGGGGGAGGGGGGGGGGGGGGGGGGGGGTGTTTTTTTGTGTGTACCCGGATTACCTATAAAACTGTGCAATTTGATATTTTGTGAGGGTCGGGTAACTCCATTAAAGGTACACAGTTAACAGATTTTTAAAGTTGGTTACTGGAACCTTCTGGAACACTATAATACAGCTACATTTGCATTTTTTTTAAGCTGTAAATATACTAATGGGAGATGTGGAAAGACAGTAGCTAAATGCCTGCCTGAAAGACTTGGGTTTGTATCCACATCAAGGTAACTCTTTATTTTTGAGGTAAGCTTTAGGGTGGACCCAGCTTAAACTCTATACAGGAAATAACCCTGAAAGTAAAGGGGATTCCTTTACTAACTTTACTTTAATATGCTCACAAATAGACAATACATATGACTTTCACAAAATGTATGACTAAAATAGTGAAATGCTTGTATCAGCTATACAATATGAAACAGCCAGAAGTATAAAGCTATGACAAGGCAAATATCAATTATATAAAAATAAAAATTGCAATATATATATATATATATTACAAACTATATCCCACATTTAGAACCAAAAAGATCTAAACAGGAGAGTATCTGATTTCACAGTATTATTGCAGCTACACTGCTGCAGGAGAACTGGAGAGTATCTGATTTCACAGTATTATTGCAGCTACACTGCTGCAGGAGAACAGCAGAGTATCTGATTACGCAGTATTATTGCAGCTACACTGCTGCAGGAGAACAGGAGAGTATCTGATTTCGCAGTATTATTGCAGCTACACTGTTGCAGGAGAACAAGAGAGTATCTGATTTCACAGTATTATTGCAGCTACACTGTTGCAGGAGAACAAGAGAGTATCTGATTTCACAGTATTATTGCAGCTACACTGTTGCAGTTGCCTGATGTGCTATTAATAAACTACAAGACATCTTCTGTGTTTGCCTTTTAGAAGGTGGCTGGCATGCTGTGTTGTGGTTTACAGATAGGCAACGATATCACTAATACCAGTTCCTAATTATCTCCATGAAACTGAGAACTTTGTGTTCCAAGAGGGTGACATTTGTTAAAGGTAACATTAAGGCAAACAAAAAAAGAAACTTACCGTTTAGGTCCATGTACTTCTATTGAAAATTTCTTGTCTCTATAATACAGGTTTTCCAGATTTTTCCAAGTAAACAGCTGAAAACAAGCAACACAAGAGCAGATAATCAAATGCCTGGGTAAGGGTGTACAAACTGGCATTCACAGATGCAGAAGACTAAACTAGAGACACCAGGGCACACGATACCAGCGTTCTTCAACCCTTTTATACCCACTGTCCACCTTAACAGGGTATTAAAAAAAAAAAAAACACACACGCGCGCGGATATATCTATATATATAAAAATCAATGTTTGTATGTTTGTTTGGTCCCTATAGACTCGGAAACTACTGAACCGATTTAGCTGAAATTTTCAGGATATGTTTGTTTTGATACCGGATTTTGAACCATCGTGGTTTGAAATTCAACCTGTCACTGTTAGAAATAGGTGACCACAATTTATGCCAAAATATTCGCAACTAATATTTATAACTTTAGTGATTTCTAATTATAGCCACGTTAGTAATTGCGCAGGCGCCGTATTTACCATTCGCCGGCGAGTTACGTGCAGCCAACGCCTTCTCTAATACTAATACATAGAGTAGGTCGTGGTACAGCAAACAAGACTATCTCTATATTTGCCACAATAACCATATTAAACACGATTTCTATTTTCTGTTTTTTTTTTTCAAACAACCTTCGATGGGGAGGGGGGGGGCCGCAATCAAGGACTATCTCGACGTCGGCGCAGACAGTGACTGCGACATTAACTTCATTAACCGTGTTAGACACGTGCGATTTCTATTTCATTAATATATCTGGAGTATCTGTCTACGAGAAAACAATTGCCTGCGGTTTTGAATTGTGTTTTAATCGCGACACAGAAGTAGTAGACACACATGTCTAATAGTTGAGTTCTCTTTTCGTTGTTCCGATTAAGTGGCTGCTTGGTCGAATGGTTAGAACACTCTGTTCATGTGCGGTAGACCTGGGTTCGAATCCGCAGTCGTTAAATTTTTTTTTACCCCGGACTAAAATAATATCCTCATCTGCTCTGTCGTGGTGACAACACTAGCCATGTTGCCTTAATATTAAAAAAAAACAAAAACAAGTAAATGGGAAAACCATTTGATAATTAAATTTGACCATTTCGCATACTTATGATTGCATTGTTAAACTTTCCGATTGCATGGTTACGCTGAAATTTTATAGATTTTCATTTATTTTCATTTAGATTTAGTTATTTCATCTGTGTTGGAATTTTAAGCTGTGCTGTTTACAATAGCGTTCATTTCCTAATTATGGTGGTTTTTTCCTGTGTTCGTTTGCTTTTCAAGTGTTTTTTTTTTTTCTCCCAACTACTTCAATGAGGGAAAGAGTTGTCGGTGAATTTGGGGGAGGGGGGGGTGGGGGCAAACTATTAACTGAGAGAGCTTTAAGTCACAGTAACTGCTTTACCCACTTAAAGTAGCAGCAGCAGTAATAGTTGTGGTTGGGCTGTTACACCATAGTGCTCTCATGTGAAGACCGCCGGTAAGGTTATGGCGTTCTTCTGTCGGCAAGTGAAATTATACATCCTAACCTGACCAGTCTGTGGCGACAGCACTATCTATCTTCTATATATATAAAAATCAATGTTTGTGTGTTTGTTTGGTCCCTATAGACTCGGAAACTACTGAACCGATTTAGCTGAAATTTTCAGGATATGTTTGTTTTGATACCGGATTTTGAACCATCGTGGTTTGAAATTCAACCTGTCACTGTTAGAAATAGGTGACCACAATTTATGCCAAAATATTCGCAACTAATATTTATAACTTTAGTGATTTCTAATTATAGCCACGTTAGTAATTGCGCATGCGCCGTATTTACCATTCGCCGACGAGTTACGTGCAGCCAACGCCTTCTCTAATACTAATACATAGAGTAGGTCGTGGTACAGCAAACAAGACTATCTCTATATTTGCCACAATAACCATATTAAACACGATTTCTATTTTCTGTTTTTTTTTTTCAAACAACCTTCGATGGGGAGGGGGGGGGCCGCAATCAAGGACTATCTCGACGTCGGCGCAGACAGTGACTGCGACATTAACTTCATTAACCGTGTTAGACACGTGCGATTTCTATTTCATTAATATATCTGGAGTATCTGTCTACGAGAAAACAATTGCCTGCGGTTTTGAATTGTGTTTTAATCGCGACACAGAAGTAGTAGACACACATGTCTAATAGTTGAGTTCTCTTTTCGTTGTTCCGATTAAGTGGCTGCTTGGTCGAATGGTTAGAACACTCTGTTCATGTGCGGTAGACCTGGGTTCGAATCCGCAGTCGTTAAATTTTTTTTTACCCCGGACTAAAATAATATCCTCATCTGCTCTGTCGTGGTGACAACACTAGCCATGTTGCCTTAATATTAAAAAAAAACAAAAACAAGTAAATGGGAAAACCATTTGATAATTAAATTTGACCATTTCGCATACTTATGATTGCATTGTTAAACTTTCCGATTGCATGGTTACGCTGAAATTTTATAGATTTTCATTTATTTTCATTTAGATTTAGTTATTTCATCTGTGTTGGAATTTTAAGCTGTGCTGTTTACAATAGCGTTCATTTCCTAATTATGGTGGTTTTTTCCTGTGTTCGTTTGCTTTTCAAGTGTTTTTTTTTTTTCTCCCAACTACTTCAATGAGGGAAAGAGTTGTCGGTGAATTTGGGGGAGGGGGGGGTGGGGGCAAACTATTAACTGAGAGAGCTTTAAGTCACAGTAACTGCTTTACCCACTTAAAGTAGCAGCAGCAGTAATAGTTGTGGTTGGGCTGTTACACCATAGTGCTCTCATGTGAAGACCGCCGGTAAGGTTATGGCGTTCTTCTGTCGGCAAGTGAAATTATACATCCTAACCTGACCAGTCTGTGGCGACAGCACTATCTATCTTCTATATATATAAAAATCAATGTTTGTGTGTTTGTTTGGTCCCTATAGACTCGGAAACTACTGAACCGATTTAGCTGAAATTTTCAGGATATGTTTGTTTTGATACCGGATTTTGAACCATCGTGGTTTGAAATTCAACCTGTCACTGTTAGAAATAGGTGACCACAATTTATGCCAAAATATTCGCAACTAATATTTATAACTTTAGTGATTTCTAATTATAGCCACGTTAGTAATTGCGCAGGCGCCGTATTTACCATTCGCCGGCGAGTTACGTGCAGCCAACGCCTTCTCTAATACTAATACATAGAGTAGGTCGTGGTACAGCAAACAAGACTATCTCTATATTTGCCACAATAACCATATTAAACACGATTTCTATTTTCTGTTTTTTTTTTTCAAACAACCTTCGATGGGGAGGGGGGGGGCCGCAATCAAGGACTATCTCGACGTCGGCGCAGACAGTGACTGCGACATTAACTTCATTAACCGTGTTAGACACGTGCGATTTCTATTTCATTAATATATCTGGAGGATCTGTCTACGAGAAAACAATTGCCTGCGGTTTTGAATTGTGTTTTAATCGCGACACAGTAGTAGTAGACACACATGTCTAATAGTTGAGTTCTCTTTTCGTTGTTCCGATTAAGTGGCTGCTATTTTAGTCCAGATGGACAGGGATGTCAATGTCAGTTACAGCAACAACAAAATATCGCCAGTTAGTGATTTTCAAATCCTTCGAAGAGGGAGAAAGCAGTAGTCGGTGGAAGAGGGGAGGGGAGGGGGTAATGACTTAAATTTGATGAAGGAGAGGATAGTAGGTGGATTTAGTTGTGAGGTGGGGGGGGGGGTGAGGTGGGGATCAAAGACTATCTCTATATCTGAGCAGACAATGATTGTATTAGACACGTGCGATTTCTATTTTCTTTCATTTCCATTTAGCCAAACTATGCCACAGCAACGCGTGGCCGGGTACAGCTAGTATATATATATGCGGGGGTGGACAAGAATAGACAAACTGCTCCTTAACAAGCATGCCATAAAAGGGGACTAATTAAATATGTTTTCTTCAAAGTCAGAAGGCATCTGCCTGACAGGCATTAAACCAAACGTCTGCATATAATAAAGCCAAATCTGTAAAAGTGGATAGGTACTCGACACTCAATAAGACCAACGTTTACAGCTGGTGAACACCATGTAGAAAAGAAAGTAAAAGTCTAAGTTATGACAAAGAAGGCTTATCCAGGAACCAAACGCCTGCAAAAATCAGATGTCGGCCAAATGGCACAAATATGACAACCATGTTGTAAAGGGACAAAACTAATCTACACTGCCAGATTTTTTTTTTCTTTTAAGTATTCAGAAACCATAAGTTCTTAACCCTTTGGCTCTGTACTATGGATATCGCAACCCTTCGGCCTTGATTTTGTGGTAGATACCGTAAATCTGGGAGAAATGTGGCTTTTCTGCCTACCCCTGGGCGTGAACTCGGACCACAAGGAGTTCGTCACCCGGTCACCGCGCAGTCCGGTTTAGCCAACTGCGCTAGAGTGCCGGGCACACTGCCAGATAAACAAAGAATGAACGAAGAAAAATTATACGTTATGTTATTCTTCTTAACATAATGTCGTCTAACTCACACAACAGATAATCCTTTAAAACAGTTCAGATCCTCCCTTGTTTTTCCGGGGCCCTACAAGTATGTCGTAGGAGTGGATTAACTGAAGACTTCCTTTGAAGTCGGAGTGCATCTGCCTAAGAGGCAAGGAACAACCAACTGCACACAAATAAGTCAGTAAAACGGATGTACATGCAAAACCCAAGCCCTGGCACAAAGCCAAAAGTTCAAAAAAAATAAACAATCAGGACTTTTACCCAGAACTTACAGCCAGTGAACAAAGAAGTTCAGATCCATAATACTGCTAGTAACACTTATTACCGCTGCTACATTTACTACAAAGATAAAAGGTAAAGTCGGGAAGGTGTGAACCAGCCTCACTGAACACGGTTATACACCATAAGTGCTCTGCTACCAGTACGGACAGCTGATAAGAATTGTCCGCCTGTGTCGCCGTTTGCACGTAACTCTGTAGCGACAGCGACGTTCCTCCATTTACCCCAGAGTGTCAACTCTGGTACCCATTTCTTAGAGGCTGGGTGAACAACGGAAGCCGCCCGGTTCCGAACACCGACCGTGGGTTGCAGAGAGTCGCAGCTGGATTTAAAAGCGAGTCTCTTATCTACTGAGCTAACGCGGCCTATCATTTACTACTAATACCACTAATACTTTTACACATCTGTTTACTGTGCATATTGTCTAAGAACGATCCAGGCTTATATCGACCTGACCCTTTCATTTCGAGAATCTTTCAAAGGAGTTACTTAAGGAGAGAAATAACCACATGAAAAATCACGAGTAAAAATCTTTCAAAGAGGCAACTGGAAATGCCAGATTTTTTTAGTATTCTGGTACAAAATCCAAAAAAGCAAATAACAGAATATACATTGCGTGATGTTTGGGATTTGCGAGAAAGAGTTTACCAGGCAAGATGCACTTTTTTGGGACCGAAATAGTAAATCAGTTATTTGTACTTATAACTGTTGAAGATATCTGGCTACTGATTGGTCGTGTATCTTCTGTGACTGGGTGAGTAAGTCAGATAAAGGAGCCTTTTGTTCCCTGTGACTAAACATTTTGACTAATCAACACTTGCTGTATGCTGGGATGAGCGTCATGCCAGGCTGCCTTTATTTCCCAGTGAATAGCCTGGTACAACACGGATTTGAAGAAACAACTATGTTTAATAACAGTTAGCAGAAATAAGCAGGAAAGAAAAACACTTTTCCTAACAAACAACAAAAACAACAGTTTTCCCTTACAAAAATAATAACCAGAAACAAGTAAATAAGGAATTTTATTTTTCTAACGAACAATTAACAGAAACAACACATAAAAGATTTTCCCATGAATGAACAGAAACGGGCAGACAGAACCAATATTTGTTACTTACAAACAATTAACAGAAACAACACATAAAAGATTTCCCCATGAATGAACAGAAACGGGCAGACAGAACCAATATGTGTTACTTACAAACAATTAACAGAAACAGCACATAAAAGATTTTCCCATGAATTAACAGAAACAGGTAGACAGAACCAATATTTGTTACTTACAAACAATTAACAGAAACAACACATAAAAGATTTTCCTATGATTTAACAGAAACAGGCAGACAGAACCAATATTTTTTACTTAGAAACAATTAACAGAAACAATAGCTTTCTCCAAAGATTAATAGAAACAGACAGACAACAAAAACAATTTTTCCTTTAAAAAAACAATTAATAGAAACATACCTTTTCCTAACAATTAACATAAACAATAGCCTTTCCCAACAATTATCAGAAACAGACAAAAACAACTTTACTACACAAAATGGCAACTCACTTTTCTAGGTGTAGTTTTGTCCTTCTTATCATAAACAGCGATGCCTTTAGGACTAATACCTAACCACCATGGTATATCTTTCTTATCCTGAAATTTAACAACAGCAATGATAACTTCATAAAGGTGACATTGTGTTAATGGTTAATTCTAGTCACTGCTTTTTCTTCTTCTTCTTCTTCTTCTTCTTCACTTTCTCCTATTTTATTTTTCCTTATGTTAAAGTCCGTAGTATGTAGTATACCAATCAGTATCATCAATATATGCTGTGCCGATATGCACAGGTTGTCATGTTTCGCCATCTCACACAATCACAGATCGGGGCAATGTTGTTTTTGTGTGTGTGTGTGTGTCTTGCCCATCCATCTGACCAAGCCAGTCAAGTAGTCATCTCTTTGCCTTCCTCTTGCTCTCTCTCCATCAATCATGCCAGTTGTTACCAAGTCCTAGAATCCATTCCTTCTCATAGCATACCTTAACCAACAGCCTCTCAATTTTTCTTTTTAGCGAGGTAGGAAGTGGGGGGAGGGTATGTGTACATGTGCATGTGTGTTGGTGCACAGGTGTACTCAGGAATACAGGTGTTCTCCACTCAGTGTGAGAAAGCAACGGCTAGCTGACACTTCTCACTAACCTACTGAAGTAAGCAACATTAGACCTGGCAGTTTGATTGCCTTCTCTTCTACCTTCCACATTTACTAAACCAAACCAGCAGCTGCTCTTGGAGTTGACAAAAATAACACACACACCTGGCATTTACTTTAATAATGGTGTTTACAATCCGCTGAATTATCAGCCCGAGAATGTACTTAATAATGGTATTTACAATCTACTTAATTACCAGTAATAAGAGGGTATAAAATGTGACAGAAACGATCTCTGCTAATAATTTTTTTTTTTAGCTACAAAATTCCTTCCAGCCTATTTCCTTTCTAAATTGCCACATAACTCACAAGGCTGATTTCTTCTTCTTGTCTCTCAATTACCTCTATTTATCTTTCTCATAAAGTTGCCAGCCTATCAGAGAGCTCTGGTCTAATTGTTGATAATAATTCTTTAGTAACTTCATTTTCCAGAAACATACAGGATGCCAAATCAGACTTTTTATGACGCTGTTTCTTGCCCTCCCTTAACCTCATGCACTATTAATCTGGTATGTACTGCTATGTATGTACTATCAACCTGGTCTTTAAGTTTTTATGACGTTGTTTTATCCTAGTTTGTTTCTGATAAATATCCTTATTTTCCCCTCTTACCACACTAGGCAATCATGATAATTATCACTATTTTCCCCCTATTACTACACTACACAATCATGACAATTATGGACATTTAGAGTGATTTCGGTTGGTACAGAAATGGAACTACTATAGAGTGACCAATTTTGCTATGAAAGAATTGAATGATCTGCTTCTCCCATGATTTTACATTAAAACTGAATGTATATAGACACCAAACAAATATTAAAAAGGTACTTTCTCTCACTAATCAACATAACAGGAAAATCCTCTCACCTTTACATCATAGTAATGAATTCCATATGTTGCTAGTTTTTCTACAATGGTCATGTAACTGTAAAATGGGACCACAAAAAAAAAGGATGGGTTATTTCATGAAGACATACAATGTCAAAATAAATTTGCATGTGCAGAATCTACCCCCCCCCTCCCCCCCACACCCCTTTTTTCCCGAAAACCGAATAACAAAATGAATCATCTGTGTACACCATCATTAATTACTGGCATCACTGATTGGCACCTTTCCACCTTTCCAGAGGACAGTGTTATATTGTGCTATATGAGGAGGCATGGGACACAGCCCATGGCGATAGCAAGTGTGACTAGCAAGACCTGCCTGTAGCTCAAAGCTTGGGCAGTACTGTAGAGACCATATGTTGCATATGCATCATGATCCCTCTCTCGACCTGCCTTGTTTACTCCAAAGGAAAGGTAACACCAGCTGCCGGATCAGGAGAGCAGTGCTCTATCTGACCACCTGTCAGAGCTTCCCTCCTAGACCAGCTGCCAGCCAAGGCTAAGGGACTGGTCTGCCCTGCCATAACACAGAGTTTTCAGGTTGCATTTCCTCTTCCTAGGATAAGGGTAGTATCCTCCCCAATGCGCTCCTCCGCTTGTAGTTGCTGCCAGTGGGCCAGATTTGGCCCAACTGGCCTCATAAAGGGTAATAAACTGCAGTGGCTGCAGCATTTAGACAGAATGCCAGAACCATAGAGACAAAACCTGCACACATAAAAGAGCTGAATAGGAGTATACCAGGAGGGAGACCAAAGCAGACTGTGGCGAGATAATACATTCACAGATTAACAAACACTTGGAATCAGACCATTACTGCTACCATAGAATTGGAAATCTTTGCTTGCTACTGAAGATGGGGATGGAGCACTTATGGATTTTCAATTCAAATTTCAACACTTGGAATCACCAAGTGGAAAGAGAAGGCCACACTAGAGATGAATGAAAGTGGGTGATACCTGCAGCAATGAACCTGAAGGGCTCAGAAAGCTGAAGAAGAAGAACGAACTAACAATATCCACTAGGAGCTTCTTGTAAAATTAAGATCCCTTCTATGTACCCCTTGATGTTTCTATAAATGTATTATTACAAGACTGACAAAGGTTTCTCTTCTCCTAAAGAAAACTTTTAGTTGACTTAGTCTCTGAATTGGGGGGGGGGGGGGGGGGGGTTTTGGGGGCAGTCTCAGCTGGTAAAATAGTGAGCTGAGAGATAAAACAGTATGTCGGGGAACAGCTGAAAGAGACAAACTTGGGGGAGGGGGGTTTGGGGTACACAGAATGTAGTGGGGAAAACAACCCAGAGACGGAACAGGAGAGAAGGTAATGAACACACACAAAACAGGGACAACAAAATGATAACCAGTGGGAGCTAGTAGATACAAAGAACAAGGAGACAGAATTCCCTGGATACATATCTTTGCGTATCTGTGTATGCATCTGCTAAACCTATGTGTGAAGTATAGCCATATGTTCACACAGAGCGAGCGACAAAACACCCAGACTCAGAAACAGTGAATTATTTCAGCAATCCAATTCCCCACAAAAACCTATGTGTGTAGTATAGCTATATGTTCACACAAAGCGAGCGACAAAACACCCAGACTCAGAAACAGTGAATTATTTCAGCAATCCAATTCCCCACAAAAACCTATGTGTGTAGTATAGCTATATGTTCACACAAAGCGAGCGACAAAACACCCAGACTCAGAAACAGTGAATTATTTCAGCAATCCAATTCCCCACAAAAACCTATGTGTGTAGTATAGCTATATGTTCACACAAAGCGAGCGACAAAACACCCAGACTCAGAAACAGGGAATTCTTTCAGCAATCCAATTCCCCACAAAAACCTATGTGTGTAGTATAGCTATATGTTCACACAGAGCGAGCGACAAAACACCCAGACTCAGAAACAGGGAATTCTTTCAGCAATCCAATTCCCCACAAAAACCTATGTGTTCATGCACAAGTATGTAATTCAAATCAAACAAAGTACATCATTTGCAAAGAACAGGCACAAACAGACAACACAATAACTTACTTAACAATAGCCAGACCCCTGGAGGTTCCAGTGATCTTCTCATAGAAACAGATAACTCTGTCTTCACTGAAACAAGGGGAAGCAACAAGACCCTGATGTATACACATTAGACAGCTGCACAAATGATTAAAAGAAGTCTAAGCATGAACACAGTAGGTGCGGAATAAAAAAAACAAAAATAATGGTAGTCCCAGGACAGATACTGGAGTCGATGTCTGAAGTGTCAGTAAATTTTACAAGAAAAGAACACTATATATGTATGTGTTGGTGGAGGTGTGTTTGCAGTGGTGGAACCCGGAGCCAAAGGGCTTTTTTACAAAATCAGGGTTTTTCCAAACATCAACCGGACCTTCAGATTTGCCTTGGGGGTGAAGCCCCACACCCGGCAGCTCCCGTAGTAATAAATAAAAAAGTAAGAACCCTTTTTTTTATTTGAAAACCCCAAAAAAATCAGCACCGAGAGAGGGGGGGGGGGGGTTGGCCCAAACCCTCATGCGGCCCGGGTTTTTTAACTTATAATCATTCCCTTAAAATTTTTGGGGCCTTTAAATTTAACCCATCTCTAAAAATTTTACATCTCAATTTGGAAAATTTCAAGGCTGTAAACCCGGGGGTCCAGGGGGCCCCATTTTTAAAAAAACTGCCCCAAATGGGTTTCGAAAAAAGGGAATTTCCAGGCGGGGTAGCCAGAAATCTTTCCCCCTTTCAGTTTTCCAGATAATGAAGTAAAGGGGAACAAAGGGGACTAAAAATATCAAAGAACTAAAAAGGGTACTACATACGAAAAAAACAAACGGGGGTTTTTTTTTTTTATTCCCTACCTCCCGGGGCACCAGACCCAGAAAAAAAAGAAAACAAAATAAAAAGAGAAGGAAAATTAAGCCCGGGCAATACTCAGGTTTTTTGAAACCCGGGCTTCTTGAGGACCCGTCCATTTACGATA